TAAAAATTAATTCTTAGAAGCTAAGATGATTTAAAAATCATTTAAATAAAAATATTACATATATAAAAATGACAAAATACTATGATACTCTTATAAATCTTTCAGAAAGTCAGAAAGAAAAAACTAAAAAAGCAATTGAATCTGATACTAATGCTATTATAAAACTAACACATCAAGATCTAAAAGGTGAAGATAAAATAGCTTTAACAGGTTCACAAAGAAACAGAATGAAAGCAGCATATTTAAAAAATACTGGCATAACACTTTCACTTAGTAGAGCACAACTTAAACATAATGCTTAAGTAAATGGTGGATTTCTACCTCTAATAGGAATAATTGGAAGTCTAATTGCATCAAAAGTTGTTCCAGCTATCGCAACAGGATTATTGACTGGAACAGCTGCAGCTGCTGGAAGCACTATAGTTAATAAAATTACTGGAAATGGTATTATTTATATAAAAAAGAATGGTAGTGGATTTAAAATTAGAAAAGTAGGAAAAGGAGTATTTTTAAACCCATGGAATGGTAGTTATAATTATTTAAACGATGGATATTATTTAAGAAATGAAAATGATTATTCATCAGTAGGTAGAGGCTTGTTATTAGGAGAAAATTCTCCATTTAAGAATATACCATTATTAAATTTGATTCTTTAAATCTCATAAAAAAAAAATATATTTTTTAAAAATATATATTTATCGATTCCACAACGAAGTTGGATAATAAAATAAATCTAATCCACTTCTATACTTTCCATTTAATAAATCAGAAGACAAATCTATAACAACAAATCCATGCTTCTTTGACCAAGATTCATTACAAAATTTTTTAAATTCATCTAATTTCATATCATTTGAAACATGGTCATTATAAATATGATTTACATTTTTTGAATCTTGTTTAAACAAGTATAAAAAATTTGCATTTTCTCTTATAGTTCTCCTAGGCAACTCAAAATAATTTTGTGCTAAGTAGAAACAATCAACATTGCTATGTCTTCCTCTTATATAGTACTTTTCACACTTGTTTTGCTTTGTTAATTGTAAATCATCAAATATCATTAAATTATTTTTAATACAGTTAAGATTTTCAGGTTCTGGAACATCATCTGCTGTTTCAAAAAATTTACACTCTATATCTGTTTTATCTTTTAAATCTCTTGAAATGTTTTTAATAATAAACTCTGGACTTACATTGTTTTTATTTATTTGATTTTGCAACTTAAATAGTTCAAGAATAACTTCTTTTGGTAATTTATTTTCAAAAGAATTTTTTAATATTTTATATTCAGGTTGGAAAAGAGATTTTCCAAAATCTTGTAAATTATTATAGTCTAGCCAACCAGGTCTTAAAAGCAAGTTTAATAATAATGTTGTTTTTCCACAACCTGATTTTCCAACAATAATCCCTCTTATACTTTTAGGTAATAACTCATTATTATGATGTTTACTTTTATTTACATTCCATGATAAATCTATAATATCCATTTTTTATTTATGAAAAGTATTTTTTAAATAGATTTCTGTGAAATAAATTAAAATAAAAATACATATATAAAAAATGTACTGCCTTAAATGTAAAAATAAAACAGATACACTTAACTCACAACATGTTGTAAGTAAAAACAATAGAAATATGCTACGTGGAAATTGTGCTATCTGCGGAGCAGCAAAAACTCAATTTACAAAAGGATCTAGCGGAGGTGATTTAGTTGATTCACTAAATTCACTTACAAAAAATATAAAATTACCATGGGCAAAGTTTAAAGGTGAAATGCATTTACCAGGTATGAACTTTGCAGGACCTAATACTAATTTAGAAGAAAGATTAACTTCTACTGAAATGCCTAAAGAATGGAGCATGCCTGTAGATAGGGTTGATAATGCAACTTATAATCATGATCTCGTTTATAAGCATTTTCCAGATAAAGAGCATAGAAATTTAGCTGATAAAATGATGATTGAACAAATGGATGCTATACCTAATCCTACACCATGTGAAAAATTAGAAAGAAAGATTATAAAACCTATCATATCTGCTAAAGTAAAGTTTGGTATGGGAAATAAAGAACCAATGAGTATTAAAGAATTATGCCAAAAAAACTACCAGGGATCAACAAAAAAAGCAAAAACTTGAAATGGACTGATGAACTTGCAAATGAACTTCATAAACCTGTTATAAAACATTTTAGAAAAAGAAAAGTGATTGCAAATGGAATTGATGATATATGGGCTGCTGATTTAGTTGACATGCAAGTTGACATTCTAAATTTAATAATGGTATAAAATACTTATTAATGGTAATTGATTTATTTTCAAAGTATGGATGGATTTTTCCATTGAAAAGTAAGATAAGAATTGAAGTTGCTAATGCATTTAATAAAATATTTAAAGACAGAAAGTGTGTAAAATTATGTGTAGATAAAGGTTTAGAGTTTTATAACAAGCATGTTAAATCATTAGGAGTTCAGCTCTATTTAACTGAAAATGAAGAAAAAAGCTGTGTAGTTAAACGATGGAATAGAACCATGAAAGAAAAAATGTTTAAATACTTTTCTGCTGACTCTACTAGAAAATGTTTTAGATGAAATGGTGAATCAATACAACAACACAAAGCATTCTTCAATTAAAATGACTCCAGCTGAAGCAAGCAATAAAAAGAATGAAAATATAGTATTTCTAAATCTAAATAGAAAAGTAAGATCAAGCCCAAGTTTATAATAGGTGATAAGGTGAGAATAACTAAAAAGAAAGGAGCGTTTGAAAAAGGATACACACCAAGATGGACTGAAGAAGTCTTTACTATATCACAAGTTCAGTATACAGATCCACCAACTTATAAAATAACTGACAACCATAGTGAAGAAATACAAGGTACTTTTTATGAACAAGAACTTCAAAAAACAAATCAAGAGATATTTAGAATTGAAAAGGTTATTCGTAAACAAGGTAACAAATCATTTGTAAAGTGGTATGGGTATCCTGATACTTTTAACTCATGGGTTGATAATACAGAATTGAAAGCTATATAAATAATTATCTAACATATATAAAAAAATGAACAACTCAAATGTAAATGTTAATATATGTGTATCAGCTACTTCTGGTAATGCTAATACAAATACTACTGTAACGACGATGACTGCACATTATAGCTCCTCTGGATCGAACAAATGATAAAAGAAAAAAATTGTACAATTTTACAATAAAAAACATTTTTTTTGAAAATGACATAAATAAATTTCTTGTGTATATAAAAAGAATTGAAAACGAAATGCAAAACAAAATAGCTAATTTTTATAAAAGATTACAAGAATTATTAAGACTAATTGAAGAAAGATTAGAAAGAAGGTTGGATGTTATAGATACTAAAGTCACCTTTAATGAAAAAAAATTACTATGGGCAAAGTTTTCATTTATGAACTTTGCAGGACCTGGAACTACTTTAAATGCAAGATTGACTTCTACTGAAGATACTGAGTACACAGCATGACGTCACACAATAGAAACGAAATTGATACTAATTTTTAAATCTAAAAAATTGATTTAAAAATTTATTTCTTAGTTATATAATTTATACACACTATGGATGATAATGAACCATATATTTTAATTAAATAAAAAGTGCTTGAAAATATGGTTGAAAATAAAAATGGCCCAGAACTCTCCTCCCCCTACTACTTTTATGTTAAATATTTTTTTTAATTTCTTCTTTATTTTTAAATATTCGTCATTTTTAAAACTTATTTGAAGTTAAATGGGAAAGCTAAAATCTTTTTTTGAAATCATTACATATTGCCAACAAAATCCAAACACAATAAAAAATATATTAATACAACCACTAAAAAAAAATGATGTATTTACTCTTTCACATTTATTTCGTGTAAACTCCTCGACTGTAGTGGTCTTCTCAGCCTTTGGGAGGTAAATAATTAAAAAAAATAATGTAAACAAAAAAAAATGCAACTTTGCTGAATGGCCAGTCAAGTAAAAATGAGTTGACGAAACTTGAGATAATAGCTTATGTGAGCAGCAACCATGATAGCATTTGTAAAAAAGGAAAAGAGATAGAGCAGGTCCAATTACATTTAAAAAGCATTTTTAGACTTGTCTAGAAGAAAAATAGCATCATTAGTAGTCCAAATATAACAACTGTATTCCATACAGGGACAAATATGAGATTTGTAGAGGTAGAGAATGGAAACAGGAGAAAGATAATAGCGTTCACGATAAAGAGAAGCAACTTTAGCAGATGCTAACTTTGCAATTGATTGTATTTATGATTTCCATGAGAAGCCAGTACTGCCCAATAATCCAAGAAGACATAAAGCAATCATAAGCAACCTAAGCGATCGAAAAGAGAAGATTTTTTGTCCAGAAAGGAGTATAAAGTTGAGTCATCAGCAAATAGAGCTTTAGATGTAAGATTATCAGGAACATTAATGTGGATAAGAAACAATACAGGATTAAGGATATAGAACCTTGAGGTGCCCTAGAAGTTACTGAAAATAAAAAAAAGTGTTGGCCTTCAAGGATGACTTTATTAAAATGGTTAGATAGAAATGATTTGATAATCTCAAAAATTTTCCAAGGTACACCCTTATGAAGCAAAAAAAAACCATGTTGATTGTCAGGGAGTTAGTTATTAGACTCAATAGGATGTTAGAAATTTGTTGTTCAAAAATTCAAAGACCTTGCTAATAATAGAGAGAAGACTGATTGAATAATAGTTGAAAGGGTCAGAGTGTTCTCCAGAGTTTTTAAATTGGAACCACAGATGTCATTATAAAATTATGTCAATAGAATATATAAACCATGAAAACATGATAATGGGAGAGAGTTCTTAAGAGTTGAAGTGTGAGTTATTAGTATTTGTGGAAAAGAGAAAAAGATGCAACCTTTATACAATGGGAGAGAAACTCAAGCTTGAGCAATTAATATATATATTAAAAAATATTTAAATAAATACTAAATATACTAAATACAAATTAAAGAACAAACCAAGAGGTGCTTTGTAAACAACTTGAAAAATTTCATTTACTGTTAAAGGTGTACGCCATATTGTTATCTTAGAAAGACTTGCTTGAATGGTAGATAAACTGTTGTAGTAATCAGCAAACACGAGAATATACTCATTAAACATAAAGTTTGAAAATATTTTTGCTTCACTATTTCCTCCAGTATCTTTCAAAATATCATTATAATACAAATATAAAGTATCATTGACTACAGACCAGACAAGAGTAAGAGTGTAAGGAGCTGATGAAGGATTAGCCATTGAAACTTTATACTTTCCATACATTGTTACCACAGTAGCAGTAATTTGATTATCAGTTAAATGAATTTGAAACCCATTGCCATGAGTAGCTGTTTGATATCCTCCTAAACCAGCAGATAGTATGGGAGATGTCCAATGTGTATCTAAACATTTTTTATTACTTTTTATCTTTTTTTTTTTTAATTTTTTTTTTAACTTTTATTCAATTATTCAATAAGTGGTAAGATAAAGGAAGTAATTAAATTTTAAAAAAACCACATTAACTTTTGAATGAGTTTATGTAAAAATATTTGTTACAAAAGTTTGATTAACAATTATGTTTGATATAAGCGTTATTTACTAATGAAAAAAGTCAAATAAAATTAAAAGTTTATTCTTACTTTGTTTTTATTTTATTGTATTGATTGGTTTTTTAAGCTTGAAGCAAAGATCATTAAAACATAGTTTAATTCTGATATATGCAGAATTATATATATGGTTTAATTTAAAACTGATTTAATAAAAATATATAATTTTATTCTGATAAAAAAAGATATATAATTTAATTTAAATTTCAAAAATATATAATTTAATTTTGACTAAAAAAAAATATTGAATATTTTTATTATTAAAATTCAATATTGAATTTTAATAATAAAAATTCAATATTGAATTTTTATTATTAAAAAAAATTACTTTATTTTTATCGCAATTGTTTTTTTGGTTTTCCTTCCTAAATATTTTTCTTTTTACTCTCAAATAAATTTAAATAAACTTTGCATCGAAAATTTGCACAAAACATAAGTTAAATTTTTTTTTTATAATTTTATAATAATTTATAATTTTTATATAATTTTTTTTATAATTGTAAAATTTTTTTTAATATAAGTTAAACCGCAGTGAGTATTTTTTAGTAAATGATATATACAGTAATATAATTTTAACAATAAAATAATAAATTAATAAACTTTCAATAAATAAAGTAAATAAATTAACATAATTTTTACTTGTTAATTTTGTTTAATATAAAAAATCATTTGTAGTTGCAAAGCCACAATTAGAAATTTAAGAAATAATCATTTTCAAAAATCAAAAATTTAACATATTTTAATTCATTTATGCAAATGTCAAGAAAAGAAAAAAATTTATTAATATCAAACATTTTTAAAAATGCAATATTAAATTTAATTAACCAATATTTTAAAAAATATCACGTTAAGCTAATGCATTAAGCATTTTTTATTTAAAACAATACCTATATATATATATATATATATATATATATATATATATATATATATATATATATATATATATATATATATATATATATATATATATATATATATATATATATATATATATATATATATATATATATATATATATATATATATATATATATATATATATATATATACATATATTAGAGTGGTTTTTTCCTATACTAAAAAATTAAGGTGAATAAAAGCAAGAGGTCCTTTAATATTTTTATTCATTTTGAATACAGCCTCCATGAGACTTTAAGTTTAGACTAACAGCCATTATTTTCAACTTTTTATAACTTTCAGCTATTTCTGCAACTGCCCATCCTCTGTGGCATTTAAGTGAAGAACTATCACCGTTTGGCTTGTTTCTGTCTCTGAACATCATCTTAGCTTGTCTTTGAGTGTTTTTCTAATGACACCAAGGAAGTTATGGTTCAAAAACATCACTCATTCCAGGATAAATACAGTAGGATCCAAAAGTTTGTGGGCAGGCATAAAAGAATTAAATTTTACTAATATTTCAGTGCATAAACCACTTAAGCCATCATATTATATACCAAATAAAAGGTTTTCAGGTTAACAATTATGCTTTAAACAAATAATGATTATTTAATTAACATTTTAAAATTGGTTTACAAAATAACAATTTTTAATAAGTTCAAAAGTTTGCGGACAAAATAAATCTTTTAACATTTTCACCAGAAAATTGTTGATTTTATAAACAAACACTTTGTTGAAATAATTTACAAACTTTATATATAAGTGATTGAGATCATGGGATCTAAGAAATTTATTTCATAAAACAGCACAGCTTTATGGTAAGTCTGCTGTAGGATAAATTATGAAGAGATATGAGCTTACTAGATCTACAAAGAATAAAAATCAATCAGGAAGACCATGCATTACAACGCGTTATCAGGATAAAAAGCTTTTAATACTAAGCAAAGAAAATCTTTGTTTGACAGCTGTTGATTTAAATGTACAAATGAGACGTTTCTATGGAATGAACTGTATTATTTCTACTATAAAACGTTGTTTACGTCATGCTAATTTATTGGGAAGACGCCCAGCTAAAAAACCAATAGTTTCCTTGAAAAACCTAATGCCCAAAAAGAATTTGCATCAGAACATCTAAAGTGGAGTAGTCAACAATGGTCAAAAATTATTTTTAGTGACGAAAGCAAGTTTATCCTGTTCGGATCAGATGGAATCAGGTATAATACCATAAAAGATAGAGGAGGTAAGGTAATGGTTTGGGGATGCTTTAGCTGGAATGGAGTTGGTCCTCTCCATAAAATTACTGAGACTATGAATCAAGAAAAGTACGAAGATATATGTAAGACTATTATGTTACCTTATGCAAAGGATGAAATGCCTCGAGGATAGATATACCAACAGGATAATGATCCCAAACATACAACTAAATTAGTTATAGAGTTTTTCAAAAACAGTTACCCAATTTGATATGTGACCACATGTTGCAGGTGATTTGATAACTATGCTTCGATCCAGGTCAACAATGTACCACATATACAGAATGCTCTCAGTTTGTGTAGCAAGCCTTTATGAGGAACTTTATCAATTGCTTTGACAAACTAAATTTTTTAACAAAACAATTTTTTTAAATCATAATAAATTTATTAGAATTAAAATTAGTCTTTTTTATGTAAAATATTGATGGTGCAATACTATTAGTAAATAATAATATAATGAAATAGTTAATAAATTTTTTTTGCTTGGTGTCATTATAAACAGTAAATTACATTTTACTAAACACGTAAAAGAGATAAAAGCAAAACCATACAAAAAATTATTTTTAATAACTAATACATTTTGTCTAGCCTTCAAAGTTTACAATTCTTCAAAACATTTGTTCTACCTAATTTTGATTACTGCTCAAGTCTTATAATTTACTACATGAAAAAAGAAATACAAAGACTGAGCAAAATTAATATTCAAAACAAAGATATATTTCAAATCAATCAATGACTTATAGCATACAACCTACAAAGTTTTCATCATCAATTTTTATGCAGAGCACTAAAAAACTATGCAATAAAATAATTTATTACAAGAAACCAATGAACCTATTCAAACAATTTGATTTTATTAACTTCAATAACATCAATTACAACACTGGAAATAAAAAATTTTTAAACTTCGAAGTGTCTAACAAACATGATGAACAGCCATTCAAGTCTTTTTTTAGAAATATAATCAATAAGTAATGCAATGACAATATCAAATTAGCACCAAAAGAATTTAGTGATCTCTATTTACTGAACAACATCAACTCAATTATAGCACATGCAACTATCAACAACATTAGGTTTGATGTCAATATAAATATAATAAATATATTGACTTTAATGCAAGCAAGTAATTTAAAAAAAAAGAAAGACTAGACATTATTTATTAAAAAAAAATAAGATGAAACTAAGGAGAGCTGTCAAACTTTAACTTTTTTCAAAGATCATTTAAGGGCTTTTAAAGAGGTTTTTTTTTAATAAGGATATTTAAGGTTATTAAGGAGGTATCTTATATTAAAAACACTTCTATTCACCAGCAATGGTAAAAGACATATAGTCCATAAAATAAAAGTTAAGAAATATATATAATAAATAACAACCTATATTCTGAAATATTATACTGCTGTTTTTGGTTTTTTTTTTCAAAAAGTCTAATGAACAGTAAACAAAATCGTCTGGATTGTAAAAAGGTATCACTTTTTTTTTTATCTTAACAGAAAGTGAAATAACTAAGAACAGCAAGAATTTTATTTTAGGTGCAATATGTTTTTAATTAGTACAAACATCATCATTTATGTTAATTTTTTAAATTAAACTTTAAAATGTAAATCTCTCCATACAAAAATAGTTTCATGAAAACAATGAAAATGCGGTTGCTGAATAATAGCTTTTTGCATTAAACTTGATTAAAGTTTTAAACTTACATGAGGTGGGTAAAATTCTTTTATTGGTAATTTTTAAGTTATATAGTATTTAATTAGTGAATTTCTAAAATGAAACTAAATCCTTTTAAACAATGTATTGTGTGCGGCTTTTAACACATTATTTATGAGACAAATTAAAGTAATTTTTTGTCCCTTAAAAGTCATTAACAAACAATACAAACTAGTCTATAAAATAAAAAAGTTTTATTTTACAGACTCAATTTTAAAAGATTCTACAAAAAACTTTAGTTTTTATTCTTATGTAATTTTATGATACATAGGCACAAACTTTTTTGTATTTTATTGTGATTCTATCATTACTTATTCGATTTTATCATTACTGTAATGTTTAAAAAAAAAATATTTCAGATTGCCAGCATTTAGTATTTGTTTACAATATTGCAAGAAGTTTACAAAATTCATTACACAAGTCTTTGAAATGCTAATTTTTACTGTATGCCCTGTGACAATTTAACAGACAGTGCAGTTCATAATAGCTGTAAATGTACATATACTAATATGTATAATTCAACCCTAAATCAGTTGGTTTAGATTTAATAAAAATTAGGATTTTTTTTTTAAATATAATACATTTACTATCTAGAACAGTTCAAGAGATTGTAAAATTTTTACATAAAGAGTAAACAATTTTTTTACTAATTAACAAGATTACTAATTAACTTGCTGAAGTGAAAATTTGCCAAAAAGACTTCTAAATGGGCTCTATATAAAGTTATTAGTATAAAGTGTTTCCTAGATAAACTATGTTTGTATATAACTCATTTAAACAATATATAGCTGTAGATTTGTCAACTTCTGTTCCTAGCATGACCAAAATGAAAAACAGCAGAGAAAAGGAAAAACATGTCTTCTTTGCATTTTCTTATTGATTTACTCAAGATACTGCGAATTCCTTAGCAGTATCTCGAGTAAGTTAATTCAA